TTGCAACACATGCGTCAAAAATCTAAAATAGTAATCTCTAGCAAAGTTTACCCGTAGAAAAATGAATATTTTTTTTCATTACTTCCACTCTCTTTTTCTTACTTTTTCCCCGGTATTTTTCAGACCATTCTTCAAAATTTCGTTAGGTTACCTTAATAACACGAATCTCACCAGTCGTTGCATATCCATATTCAAAATTATTTTGAGTTCTGCTACTGCAACTGACGTATATGTTATCTAAATGATAATAAAATTTGATATCCAAATGTCTGCTGAAAAAAGCTGTTCTTTTTATTACCACCGTCGTGACTGCAGACAAAATTCTAAAATTTGAAGAGTCGCCCTTGTCAGCTTCTCTCCTACAGTGTCCTATGAGACCTTTCTACTACTCTCTCTACTGTAAGCTCAACCAGCTCTTGAACCTACAGCACCAACTTATAGCTACCTTGATACCTAATTTCTCGCTCAAGATCTTTTCCAATCCTGAGTCCACTATGTACCGTCTCGCCTTGAATAGATGCCAACTGTCGTGTTTAGGAAGATTGCTACTCAGTTGTACAATACCTATCTAAACCTATAAACAGGAGAAGATGCTTATCTGGTACGCGTGCGATATTACTCCTGTTACTAACTAGTTTATTACTCGCAAACCAGATTATAAAACCAATATAAGAAATTACTTGAAACGATTTAAATCCTATTACACACAGTAAGGTGATATAATAAGCAGAGAATCCTTTACAAAGATAGAGTAATAAAGACGCGACTAATTGCCTATAGGCACGTAACAAGATAAAGTTTATAGAAAACCGCCGACAATCAATTAGATTTGATTGTAATGAAAACACTGAAATAAGCTAATTGTCACTCCCTATTTATACCTATTTCCACCGGTGGCGTGACCTGGGTAGTATGCTCTTCCGAGAGCGTCCCCTCAGGAAACATAGTCCCGTCGGTCATTTATTGTAATAAGCGTCGTTTCGCGTATGGTCGTGACAACCACACAAGTCTCTTTTTTTCAAAATTTTTATCTTTTGGGCTCTATTTCTCGTGTACAAAGTTTATTACTTTCCGTTTTTATGTATGAGCCATTCCATACCAAATCGCACACTTTGGAACATCAACCTCTCAAATTTTCTTCATTTTTTGCTGATTAGTAGAGTCTAAGCCAGAATAACGAAAACTAAAAAAACCTGAAAAAGTGAATTTTCCGCTAAGTTACACTCCCCCAAAGTTACAAAATTTGCCAGTTTGCCGTTTGACTTGCCTATCTTTAGTGACTTGTAATTTGGCTAGCCGGAATTTAGTGATTTTTGATTAAGCATACTTCCCATGTTCCTGTAAAAAGATGTCGAATAATTTAATTCCAGTGAAAATGCAAAAAGATACATTAAAAACAGAATTTCAAACAGACATAGAAAAAAAAGTGTTTTTAAATTTTTTTAAGAAGATATATTTTGTATAAAATTTTTTCCTCTACAACATATCAAAACTTGGAAATAGCGATTTTTTGATATCAGGAGTTACAAGCCAGGAAGGAATTTGAAACTGAAAAAAACCCACTATTTTTACAGTAATTCCATATATTTTACAGTGGGGGAATCATTCAAAGCTGCTTCTGAAGGCAGCAGCTGGCAGCTACAAATATCCCATATGCTCTAAACATTGAAAATTCGCCATCAAAGTTGTTCTTTACTTTGATAATATTAACAAATTATTATTCTGCAGAGTTATAAGAAGTAGTTTTTACTCCAGCCCTTTCTAGTTTTTATATGTCGTGATTCCTCAGCTCTTAAAATTGTCTCTGTCTTGTACTAGTTAAAGTTTTCGTCAAGTCAACTTTTTTTTCTTTTAAATTATGTGTTGCAGTTTTATAGAAACATAGAAAGTTTCGAGAAGAATCTTTATCTAACAGTTACTCAGGTGAAGCAGTGAATCCTTAGACTTCTTTGCGACGTCAATATTTATACCAAGTACATAGTTTTCATAAAATAAAAGACGAGAACTAGAAAGGGCTGGAGTAAAGACTACCTCTTATAACCCTACTGAGTAGTAATTTGCTAATGTTATTAGAGAAAAGTACAACTTTGATGGCGAATTTCCAACGTTTAAAGCATAAAGAGATATTTGTAGCTACCAGCTGCGGCATTCAAAAGCGGCTCCAAATAATTTCGCCACTGTAAAGTACGTGAGATTACTGTAAAAATAGTGGGTTTCTTTCAGTTTT